TGGGGGGGGGGAGAGGAGAGAAAGAAAGAGAAAGAGAGAGAGAGAAAGAGAGAGAGAGAGAGAGAGAAAGAGACAGAGAGAGAGAGAGAGAGAGAGAGAGAGAGAGAGAGAGAGAGAGAGGAAGAAGAAGAAAAGCCTGCCAGCGGCGTCCCCCACCTACACATTTCCCTATGAGGATAGACAAAGCCGTACTGAGGTAACAGCCTGGAAAACAGAACGACAACAATGAGAAGATACACAAAGCCAGCGCCCTCACCGCCCGCCCAAATGATCATGTTACTAACATCTATTAGAACACAATCACTGATAACCTTGCCAGCTGATACAGTGCGAATACACATCGTCTCTTGAATAGATCAAAGAGAAAAATGATTTTGCCTCTGTAACCCTATAAACCACGACCATGTTTGACATTTGTTGTGAATATGTGTAGGGGGAGGAGAGGTTAGCACAAGTGTGGGTGGTTGGCGGACGCTCTGGTGTGGTTTACTCCTTCTTTCTTATTAAACATCCATCGTCATTATCTCTCATCCCCTTTTTCTTTGTAGGCTCTAGTGACATCTCTAACCTTCGGCATTTGGGTAGCACGAGCCATAAAACTCTTACTAAAAACTAAAAAAACCCAACTAAACTATGACAACAGCCACATTCCACCACGAAGAGACAAGAGCGATGAAGGCACCGACAGCAGTGAAGGAGGAGACTGCACTAAAGCCTTCACCTACCTCTTGTCATGTACGTGTAATTCACAACTGATGGCTTACGTTGCATCTGAGATCTCGGCTTTGTTCTGGGAGAGATGTAAACCGAGTATACGCTCACATGCTAATCATTCTCCACCCCCCCTCACCTTTTTCCATTTTAAATTCGACTTACATAACTTCTAAAGGTGTTTTGACAATGCTATCATGATTTCAGTTGTCGGATAGAGATTTCAGAGTGCAGAGGCAGTAGCAACAGATACGACATATTATTATTATGGGGGCACTTAAAAATGTAGAATTGGCGCCCAATAGCCACCTACAGTGGTACTACAGTTGCCGTCTACGACCCCAACCCATCTCTCAATCAAGATCGGAAGTAAAGGTACATCAAACACAATACATGTGTCCTAGTTTCCGTATGCTGATGAAGCATTGGGGTTGTTGTACGTTATCTATCGTGAGTCAGCACCGCAACAGATACAACCTCGCCAAAAGTATTTTTGGTCGAAATAAACACTGGAGTAACAATAGAAGGAGCAGACCGCCCAAGAGCACCCAACAACAAATCAATTAATGAAAAACAGGCAGAAGTTCCTGGTATCACTCATAATAGAAGAGTGAAGAAAATGGTGATGGGCATCTCACCCCCCCCCCCCTTTCACCCACCCACACAGACCTTTCCCAAATAGAATAAATACGCCATGATAATTCATCCACGCATCATCGCATCATAGGTATGTAAAATATACCCTTACCTTATAATGAGGTCGATACGGACGGCAAAACCGAACTCATTAGCAGATGCATGTAACGGAACATATGAAAATAACCAAGCATGGTCTGTTAATTCGGCGCTGTTTTAATTACATCATTAGTACTGTCGAAAATAGGCAAACCAGAGCAAAATACCAATATCAACGTTGACAACTATACGTTCCCTCTTTCTTTTTGGAGGTCATACAAGTGAACGGATGTGTTTGCAATATGATCTAAAAATGGCTTTAAAGAGCAGAAGCGCGACAGGTAGCAACAGGATATATCAATGATAGTTTGGACTGGGATTACGTGGCAAAGTTATGCATAACAGGGGCAGATTCGACCGATTGCCGCAGATGCCGCAGATGACAAAGTAATGACGTGGTTCTGAAAACAAGGCGGGGTCGGGATAATGAAGTAGATAATACTGCAAAGTGCATCCCGGCGCGTGCTGGCCAATCGATACGGAGACAGCTGATGTATCGGGAGGGTATATAACATGAGACCTAGTCCATATGGGAGTACAAAACTGCATATCTACGAAGGGCGTAGTCCACAGACCACCCATAACTCATGGTCACATACATAAACGAACTTCGTTCCATTAATGGGTTGATTTTTCTAGTATTGTCTCGTAGCATAGTGTTGATATAAAACTGCAAGGGAGTAAACTGTTCTACTAATACTTTCGACCAATACACTTCGCTCATCTCCACCCATTTTCACTCCCATTCTCTGCATCAGCGTGTGAACAGAATGCACTGTATTTAAAAAGTAAGTCATGAATGACTATGTGTTCTAAGTTGTCATCCACACCATTACCCATCTCGTTCCTCTACAGTTTTAAAAATAAAAATGATTTGTATTTGGATTCGATGTTGATTAAAGTGACAAGGCTACACGACAGAAGTACACGACAGAAGTACACGACGGTCCAAACCATATAAACTGTTACGAGATTAAAATAAATGGGAGGGGGGAGGGGGGGAAGAAAGAACACATACACATGTGTGAGTGTGAGTGTGTGTGTGCGTATGTGTGCGTATGTGTGCGTGTGTGAGTGTGCGCGTGTGTGAGTGTGCGCGTGTGTGAGTGAGTGAATGAGTGCGTGCGCGCGCGCGCGCGTGTGTGTGTGTGTATGTGTGTGTGTGTGTGTGTGAGTGTGTATGTGTGGAGGAAGAAAATGACAACCATTTAGCGCCCAGATTACGTCAGCCCCAAAGGAAGAATATCTCCAGAGACGAAAATAAATACAACCACATGACTGGAAGCAATATCTAATATCCATCTGCTGTTAAGGGACATAGAGGCAACGACAAGGGTCGCCGCTTGCAAATTACTGTTACGGTGACCAGCAGCTTCCTTAAAGAAGTATAGTAGATGGACAGAGCAGTGTGAGCAGGGACACTTACCTTATTTCTGTTCTTGTCACACTGCGGTATTTGATCCTTACAGTTGTGCTCATGAACGTTCACGAGGCAGTCTGAAACACAAATACATCAGTTTTGAAAAATTGAAAATTTGAGCTGACTGGCACGAATGTCTTCGGCCTTAAATAAATTAATGAATTTGAAATGTCTGCAAATTCACAGTACTCATTTTCCCACTTGAGCCAGGAGACGGATTTGAAATAAGGAATAGAGGGGGGGGGGGTTACGAAGGACATTCGCGACGGTGACAATATCATAAGTATATGTAATACAATGCTCACTGTTAACTAACAACTTTGGAATGCAACGTTTTGATGTTTTATCTTTCAAAAGGCCAGAAGGTGTGGACCATTTCATTTTCACACTCGTCTAGTAATTACGAATAAAACTTATTGCACCAGTCTTCACCAAAAAAAAAAAAAGAAAAAAAAAACCTGGGTAGAAAATGTACTCTAGAAAATGTGGGTATGCGTACGACAACGAGCAACAGCAGAAAGGCAAATAGAAAACATTGGAAAGGGGGGTGGGGGTACAAGACTGCCCCCCCCCCCCAAGCAAACAGAAAAAACAAGCCGGTTGTGAAACAACTTTTGTTTATATGTGATCTTTGTCATTGATATTGGTCAGATGATGAAATATATTGTCATTCGCACTTAAGTGGCCGGAGATTGCCAAAAGATGAGACTGTGCAGTAAGTATGTTAATTTTTAGCCTCAGCTAGTGAGTCCGAAAAAAGTTTTTTTCCCTCCGAGGCGCCACAAATGCGAAAAGAAGAACACTACATGAGGAGACAAATGAAAAATAACCTTAGTTTCAAAAACATCACATCAAACCAAACCATAACTTAAAAAGCTTTCCTTTAAAAAAAAACCAACAACCCCAAGCTAAACCGTTTTACTTTCATTATGGCGGGCCTCTACTTACTTTCACACCGCAGGGCTGCCTTGTTCGCCATGGGTTTGTGACACGCATCGCAGGCAGTAGCGTTACTGAAGGAGATGGCCACGAAGCGGTGACGGTCTTTGCTCTTACTGTCCTTCTCCTTGTTCTGAAACACATGAAAAGTAAAAGAGTTTAGTGAAACAACAGACAGCTTCAGTGATCTCAACGCCCGTTTCAATACTGTAAGGCTATTCAAAAGGCGGAGCCTCCGAATTTAAGGTCCATCTCCGATAGGATCGAACTAAGTGGGTGGGAAGCCTTCAAAACTCAAACAAAACAATCCACACGCAGAAAAACCTCCTTTGGGGATTTGATCCATGGAGCTCTCTGTTGTCCAAAGTGATAGCAACTTAGCTAACAGTGGACCCTCGTAGGGATACCAGTTCACACGTACAAGCAAACATAAAAACACAGTAAGAAAAAAACAAACATGTATTCCAAACAGCAACACGTCACTGCTGATCGCCAAGGTGCTGTACTCTGTATTGAGTAATAGAGGACGTGTTTGCTCACGTTGATTCGTCATCGACAATAACCGATTCAAACGGCCCACATATTGCACTTTGGTCCGATCTGATTTGGCTTTCGTTGTTGAGTAGTAGATTTACAAATCAGCCCAAAACAGCCAAGTTTTCTCAACACGCCCATGTTTTGACAGAAGCAGATCAGACACATTTTTATATCAACACTAAAAAGCCGGAAAAGTAGTTCATACAGACAGTACGTTTGAAGACTGGTCCAAGGCAGTACGATTAAGAGTTGAGACCCCAGGTGCATGATTAAGAGTTGAGACCCCAGGTGCATAACCTCTCCTGAATCAAGTTCATACAGACACATTTTCACGTTTACTTTTAATTCTAATACGGCACCTGCAACACAATTAGCTCACACAAGTTTCCAAAAGAAGATTTATTACTAGAGACTAACATACAAAGGGAAAAAGGAGAGGAGAAAATGATGATACATGTTTGATTGGTGAGAAGGAGCAAAACCACACAAGAGCACCCGTCAATCAAAGACACATTGTTAGTTTGTTTGAGTAAACAATAATAGCCATTTAGTGCCGGGAAAAAGTAAGACAGACAAACAGAAATAAGAAAGGGAAAGTAACGAAATAAGACCTACCAGTGGCGCCCTCCAACCACCCGCGCCATCAACATAGTTACAGCGAAGAAAGATAAACACCTCATTGCGATCTATGTAAAGGGGAAAATAGCAAGGAGACAGACGAGAATAGCAGTCGAGCAGGAGGGAATAAACCAACCACAAGATAGTCTAGAGTCCAACATAAGGCATATTTATATTATTATACGACTCTTTTGCTTTGAACGATATATAACAGATTGTCGTTATACATACAGCTCACACAGCTCGTACGTCCCATTTCCCTCCAGTTTGACAATTAATCAATTTGTTAAGGGAAATAATTCAACAGTTCAAGGTTCTGTTTGCAGACATCCCCTCGTGGAAACACATCTAACTGATTTACTATCAAGGCAATACACCATTCTTTGATTGATAGCTATGTAAACCCATCGTTGAGTACTGTAATCTGCAAAGCAATACATTTGTTCATGCCAATGGCTGAACAGCAAGGAGTTACGGATGTTGGAATAGCATTGCTAACCAAATGGGTAATCGCCATATCTCGCCTGGAAGCTGTGAATCACATCAGAAGCAATTGAAAGAAGTGCTACGAGCAAATTGAACATGGTTGGTAGCCCACCAACCACCAATACGACAGTACGAGAAGGACGGGAGAATGCTTGTGGCAAGAAAATTCAGGAACGCAGAATTAGAAAATTTAAAGACAAGACGAGAGTCACGAAAGCACGACGGGACATTTCCTCCTTGTTCATCTTTGTACGAGTTTGCCTGTGATAACCACTAACAGTGTGTTTGTGTCTGTTTGTTAAAATACTTGTTTCAATTGCAAGAAAGATGGGGATTTGTATCACTAGCGTGCCTTTGTACATGCCATTACAATAACAATATCCAAAAAAGATACGACGAATTAGATTTTTCTGTTCTTCCCATTTTACACTGTTCGAGTTCGAGGTAAAAGTTCAGAATGCGCGGGCAACCAGGGCTTAGAGTGCCATTAAATATAAGAGTGAAATAATCCTCATTCTTGTACAAAAATAATCCTAAAATTCATAGAGAGCGCCCCTGTTCAGCACACTGTGGTCCACAGCTAGATCTGTTTATTACCGATTCGGCTGGAGTGGGCATTCTCCATTTCACCATCCAATCAGCTATATCAAAACAAAACAGCATAAGAACACACACCAGCCCCAGACCCC